GGAAGGGGGAGGGGAATCCTCTGCATGCTTATTTTCACTTTCTGTTAATTTTACCAATTGAATAATAAACATATGTACCACGAGTTAACAAACTTGTATATAGGAAACTAAAACATTGAAATAAGCCCGAGAGTAAATAGAAATAGACTATTATCATTTTTATCAATGTATTTACAAATACAGGTGGATTTACCTCTTACTCGTTAGTAAATACAGGTAAATGCCCAGGTAAGCTGAGGTAAACATGCAAAGATTACAATGTTTAATGAGTGATAAAAAGAGATAGAATGTTATTTGGGCTACTATATTAAATCAATATCTACCCGTGTAGTGAAAATACTATGATTTTGTAATCAAATCCTTGATACTTGCATTTTTTGTTAAATCTTCTTGAATGAAGCTTGCTTCTTTTTTTGTACTTTCACTTCAGGTTCAGTGGAAGATTTAAAGGATACCTGTGTTCAATAGATAGGCAAAAGATAACTATAAATTGGATAAATTAGGCTTCTGCGTGCCATACTCTATTAACATTTAAAACTTCAATGTTCAATTTTATTTAATTACATCTGGTATGAGATATTATTGAAAGAAAATGTGATGTTTCATAGTTGGTTATTAATACGGTCATTAGGTCGTCATTATGCCATTGATATTGAATCTGCAACTGATTTTTAATTAACCTGTTTTATCTGATTTTGATTGGAATTTAATTAAATATGGGGGTTTATCAGAGGTCATCATATATCTCCCGTATTTGCCTGAACATGAAAAAATATGTGTTTGTGTGTAGCATTCCAAGTATATTTTAGTGTATTGTTACATGTTATTTGTGCCTGTTGTCTTATGTATACAATATACCTGTAAAAAGTTCATTAACTAAATTAAAGTCACTTTGATCATTTACCTGTAAAACTGTAGTGCCTACTAATAGACTTAAATCATTTGGCTCAGCGTGTTGTCCGATTTTACACATCTTTTTTACAGCAGAATTATATGCTTCATAACATTTTATTTGACAACAATTAATAAATGAGAACACCTGAGTGAAGATACCCTACATGTATTCAGATCATATACAACCTTGCCATTGTCAGTCACAGTATTATACTTAAAAGATAACATCTTCAGGATATATATTTCAAGATTTTATTAGAAAATTTTAAATCATTTTCTCTAAAAAACATTTTGAATAAACATTTGACCTTAGTTTTAAAGCATACAGAAAAAAACTGTAATGGAGTTAATGGAGACTGTTATTTTACCAAAACACTCTTTTAAATTCAACTTTAGCTTGGGAATTGTGATAACATTGGGGTTTTATTCACTTTTGATAGCTTCTAAAGGAAACTAGTAATTTGTATCGGATGGATGGGTGGGTAGGTAGGTCTACCTTCAATAAACAGCCCAGGTGTGGGGAAGATTCTACTCCATCTTTAGCCAGGTGGAAATACCTGTAAAAACCTACCTGGTAGTGTAGCGCTAAAACCAATAGAAATTCTCTACAGGTTTTGTCGGTTCAAAAAGTATTGAGAAAGTTTTGTAAAGTTTCACTAGATCTACAGTCCATTAAATAGATGGTCACATGAGATAAGAGACCCATATTGCACAGGACTTGAAATAAAAACTCATTTTTTCATATTTTAAAGCATGAAATAGTATGAAATATTGTGAAATTTCAAGAATTTATCTTTAGAGTCCTTTCGTTGCATCTTTTAAATTTATAAGATTTCAGAAAAGTTGATATATAATTTGAATTTGACAGAAAATGATATTAAACAATCATTTTTAGAGGGAGGCTATCTATAGCATAGAGAAGGCATAAAGCTACAACTATACCCTTTGCATTCGTTTGACTTCACTTCTTAAAAGAGAGCTTCGTCTTCACTCTTTCAAACTAAAATAAACCTCTGAACTCACCGCGCCAATCAGTGTTCGTCGGCCAAATTTGACCGACGTTCTTTATATGGTCATTCCTTCTGACGTCATCGTTGAGCCCGGAATTGACCAATGACATGCGCATATTTAATTAGAATGCATTTGGCATATGTTTCTTCAAGCTCGCTGATTGGTGGAAGGTCAGCGCGTAGGTCAAAAGTGATTTACCCAAACTGTCACCGATACCCGTCGTGGGGGCGGGGCTACTAAACTGTAATATGGTCTCTACTAGGCAGAGTGTAGTTTAACTAGACTCTGCACACAGGGTACTACAACTAATAGTTGTTAAGATAAACTTATTTGTTAAATTGACTCACGAGACTTCTTCCCACAAATGAATGCAAGTTTGGTTCAAGGGGTAGATTCCTGGGTTAACCCAACTTTATAGCTCTCTGGGGGTCCCCCTGGGGCAAGTTTTGTAATGTCACCTTTAAACAGGTGTGTGAAGATCATGAAGCAATCAAATTATCTAAAACCTCTTGATTTCACCATGTAGTTCAATGTGGCTGTGTTCTTCATATTGTTTTCAATCCTTGAGTATACTAACTAGGGTCAGAGGTTAACTTAAGACCTGCTTTCTCAAATAAATGTCCATTAAACTTGGATTAAATCCTTGCCCCTGTACCTTACGACAATCAGGCCTGTTTATTTAGCACTGACAAGTTCCCCTTATGTGTGTGAATTTTTTATGAATAATAAAACACACAAAATAAACAAAATGGCAGAGCAAACAAGGCAGACACAACACAGTGTTGATTGTAAAGAGGAGGATTTCAAAAGATCAAATATAATGTCAGCGCTTAATCTATAGTCAATAAGAGCTTAATGTCTATTCAAATGCTAAATATTCCATGTACTTTTCAAGTGTTTGTGGGACTAAAGAAAATATAGATGTTTTCTGAAGTTAAAAGTCAGAAAAGGTCACCAAATGTTTGCCCCTGTGCATTTTATAAGCAGAGGGTACAAGAGTTTGAAAATTAAGAATTTAGGGACTGAGAATGAGGTACGAATAGCAAATATGGTTGTGTTTATCTTATTATTTCATGTTTATCAAGCTGGAAAATGAAAAGTAAACTTTAGGGGAGAAAATTGGAAAGTAAAAAGCCAGATAGTAGAGGTCTGTGATACAGTGCCCCATTAAGTAATTCCATTTAATTAACTGTATCATCTATCTTGGCTCTGTCAGTCTGCTTATCAATTATGCTCAATCGGGGCCTGTATTATTTTACATGTGGCCCTGAAGTATGTATATATGGATCACAGGGGTATCCTATGTTGCTTCATGCTGGTCTAGCTATGACCTGACATACATTTCAAACTTCATTTTTGATGGAATTTTTCTCATTTTACGCCAATATTCTACTTGGTAATTATATCAAAGTAGAGTTCAAGTTTAATTAACGTTGCTGTATTTAAAGTTCAAAACTTGTGATTATAAATTGTTAGTATCAAAAACTTTCTTTACCATAAATTAAGATACTTTTTTAAATCATAGTCTTCTGAAAACCTTACCTTCTTGAAAATAGAAAAATGAAACATGTTGCTTGAAATACCCTATGTGGAGAGTCTAGTTATAAACTAGCTCTCCTTTAATAAGTGGAGGCGAACAAATCCAAAGGGTATTGTAGAGAGGACCATATGAAGTAAAACAAAATAAGAAATTTGTACTTTCATCATCTGTTGATTGTATCAATAGACCACGTAAGTGTATTACTGAAGCTTCATTGCCACGGTAACTAATTCAATTTAGACCAGTCTGTTATTTGGCTCTATATTACTGCCTGTTCTCAAGGGTAATAAAAAGCGATACAGCATCAAATAGTTATCCCCTCAGCTTAGTAAGGCCTTCTACCATCAAAGATTTATATTTATAAAAAAAGTTTTCATTAGGTGGAAAATCTTAATTATCAGGTATTAGTATGCTTTTATTAAAAAAATATTAACTTGAAAATATATATAGGAAAGCATATAACTGGATGCTTCAAAATATTAGTTTTAGGAATTCTGATACTTTCTAATTTTTAGTTTTGTCAGTAACAGACTTTGAAAGTCCATTAGTTTTAGACTGTTCAGTATTGAATCAAAACACTATCCCCATCCTCAAGACTTTATCCCCATCCTCAAGACTTTATCCCCATCCTCAAGACTTTATCCCCATCCTCAAGACTTTATCCCCATCCTCAAGACTTTATCCCCATCCTCAAGACTTTATCCCCATCCTCAAGACTTTATCCCCATCCTCAAGACTTTATCCCCATCCTCAATTATATATTTCCCAAATGTATGAGACAAAGTCTTCCAAGAAAAAGAAGGCCTTAGAAGAAAAAGAGGTTTATGAAGAAAAGATGGCTCAGAAAAAGGCCTGAGTAAAAACAGGCCTGAGAAAAAAGAGCAAAAAGCAGCCTGTGGAGTTAAGATGGACATCATAAAGAGTTAAGATTAGAGTCATAAAGGCTTTCTTTGATTGCATGTTGCTAAGATTGCATGTCAATGTGGTTTCATCCTGAAATATAACAGTAGATATATCACAAATACAATGCTTTAACTACAGTACCAGATGTGGATTATTAATATTGCTTTTACATTTGTATGACAAACCAAGTCTTTATTAAGGTCTTCATTTATTTTTCATTATTGTGTCTTTGCACAGTATTGGGTCTTTAATCTCCTTAGCTTATTGTAGTTTTTCTTGGGAAACATGTTTTCTAAAGATGGGTTTTAATGTACTCAGTTAGTAGGAATGATGATGAAAAATTATTTCACTATATGCTTGTGAATTCTGTTTGAATTTAAAAGAATATGACATATACTTTTTTGTTAATCAATGATATATTGTGTGTACATAAGAGCATTGAGTTGCCATGTTCATTATCCCTGTTCAGGGCCTGCTTAAATTTCCTTACTGCCAGCTCATGTATAGATTGCAATCAGATAAAGTAGTGAGCTGCTATGATTGGCCCTTAGTTCAAACTCTACTAGTTATCTATTGGCCCCAAATCTGTATAATCCAATCTTAAGGTCCTATGGTTAAGAGGCTATCCGACTAGAAAAGTTAGTACTTAGTAAGTGAGGCTAGGAGGATAACCTATGTTGGGATGATTATACTATAACTTATCACCCAAATGTACAACTTACATCGCATATTGTCAGATACGCTCATATAGAGATAATAATACAGGGTGGATTTTGACTATGTACATTACAGCCAGCAAACCATTTGGAAATTAGTGGTAGAAAGTTGTTAAGGAGTAAAACAGTAGGAGTTTAATTCAGAATAGGTGTCCTACAGCGAGGTTCTATTGTATGTGACCAGTGGTGAACTGGTGGAGCAACATGCTATGGCATTTGGAGTATACTTTAGTTTAACTAGCCATCCTAAAGAAATCAACCTACATGGAAAGGGAATAACATGTAAACAGACAAACACACTAATCAAAATGTGGATTTTTACTTTACTGTTTTGGTTTTCTTTAGGAGAAGTTGCTGAACCTATGATCGGATCTGAAGACCCTACAGTTCCACAAGGAGTACCAATCTATTATATAGAACCTGAAGAAAACAGTTATATTATCAAAAGCAAACCAGTTGAGATAAAATGTAAAGCGTACCCAGCCATGAGGATTAACTTCAAATGTGCTGGTCAGTGGATAAAGCCTCAGTCCCATACTAATCTAGAGATACTAGATTCCGCAACCGGGATTAAATACCTGGAGACAAGTATTCAAGTGACGAAAGGTGATGTGGAAAGTTATTATAGACTTGATGGTTACTGGTGCGAATGTACTGCTTGGAACATTTTCTCTGATGCATCAGTGTCTCTATCAGCTAAAAGTCGCAAAGGACGCATTCATATTGCTTGTAAGTACAGTTTTTTATATATATTTTTTGACAAATAATATTTGTTAAATGTGATAATGACAATTTAGTCAGACCTGAGGAAAAATTCATTTTTTCTTATATGTCTATCAAGGAAAAAATCATGTTTTCTTGTAAATAGTGGCTGTAGATTGTTACTGAAGAAAAGTAAAAACATTTTGTATATTTACCCTTTGGGTTAAATTGTTGAACTAAGTCTTGCTTTCTCTGATAATATAAGAAACAATTCATTTGTCCCTTTAACACACATATGAATTCTTAATTATATTTAATGTTGATATTACTAGCAGCATTATAATCTCCATTGACTAAGCAACAAATGCTCATTAAAGATTAGATTGCTTTTTTGAGATCCTTGCCCCAAGATACTTTCCTAAGATCCCTTAATAAGCCCTAAAGGGATGAGTCATGTGTGTATTTATCTAAACATAAGACTCCTAACTAGGGGTAATGTATTGGCAAAACACAGAGCAAAATGGAAGATATTGACCATCACAGATGACACATTGTTTGAGAAGCCAAACCAATGGATTGATCCTAAGGGTCAATATCATATACAAAGGTCCCTTGAAATTATCTTTTTGTGAAATCCGGTTGATTTATTGACTTTCCCTGTACAGATGCCTTCCCTTTTTAAGAACCTACCTCAAAATGCATTATTAAGAGGGATGCTAGATACACGATTCCTTGCAAATGGTAGGCCCTAATATTTCAAAATAAATCTGAGAGTTTTTTGAATTTGAGATAGATTCATCCGAATTTCATTTCATAACTTTTGAATCATGTCCTTTGCATATTCCTCTGCTACAACAGAGATGTGAACCTGACTTTTATCAGTCACATACATACGGGACGGGTTCACTAATACACATGCTATATTTCATGCATGTTTACAGAGTCCCAATTATCACATCACATTGTTAATTGATAAAATATTTATCTAAATTACTTTTTGAGAATAGTCATTGTTTATTGTGACATAGGCATAAAACATTTTGTTCGATAAGTCATATTATTTGCACAGTTTGATTTTTCTGTGATGAATTATACAATGATTTAAATGAAAATAATTTTTCTAGTCATAAATGGCTTCTTATTGATAGACTCTCCTAGGAGATGTCATCTCCCGGGTGGATTACCCGTCAATTTTTGTCTGTTTTATTGTTAAAAATCAAACTATATTGATAACTTTTCATTGAGTTATAATAACATTTATCAGGGTGTAAGAGAGAGTTAAGTAAATTAATGATTAATTCTTTTACAATAAACTCCTTCGAATTTGTTAAATTTTTTTTGCAATGTCTATTTTAAATTATCAGAACGATATAATGGTTTCCAAAGCCTGGTATATACCATATTGTTTAGCCGAGATCAATGCTAATGATGCAGACGATTCCTATAGGTATTTCATATAGTGTAACTATTGCGGAGTAATCATGGGAAATTATACGGATTCATGTAAGGGCAAATAGCATTAGAGTATAGGAATCCATAGAAATAATAGACTTTGATGTCCCATGATATTTTGAACCTCCCCCTAGGACCCTAAATCAATTGACACTTTATACAAAAGATACAATATGGCTTGTGTGACTTATATTGATCATATTTATTAGTTTTCCTTTTCTGGGGTTCTTCTAGGGAAATTCTCACCTGATCATTATAGATATCTGCAATTATTTTTGTTCAATCAATACGAAATCTATATTCCAAAAATTTCTGTTTTCTAATTAAATCAAATATGCGTTAGTAGAAATTGGTCACAACCCGAGGGCAAAATCAACTTATTTGTAAGTGTAAGATACTGGACAATAATAAGATAAAAGTGGGTCAAATATTTCTTATTAAGAAAGATCTAATGGATGAAAGAGATTTGTTCAAGCACATATGTTGCAGTATGTTTTTAGGCTGAAAAAATCATGATCTGTTATATTTCGTTCATTCTATATCTGACAAGTCCGAATGGTATATTGAGTTTATTAGCGCACAGTTATTGAGAATATAAAACAAATACATGGGTTTGTAAATATTACCCCAAAACCAGATGCTAGATAAGTAGCTAACTCTGTACAGAGAAATAATATCGCAACCTCCGCCAGTTTTGACTTTTGGCAACTGACATGAACGGTGAAACTGGACCTGGGAGAAGGAGATTGAATCGTGGAGAAAATACCCAAATTGGAGGCTGTCAAAATATATACAAGCTATTAAAAAATAAATAACATTTTGACCTACCTGGGTGATGGATTGTGAAATGTTTTGACAGAATGTGGTCTTTTGACTTTTTGGCATGATAAATTTTGAGTAGTTCTCCTCGTAATACTGAATTGTTTTAGCATTGAAATTAAAATCTTGTGAAATATCAAAAGAATAACTTATGAATGTTAAACACAATTGAATTCATAGACATAGATTTTCATTATTTCATTATCAGAAAATTGCCCCATTTATAGTTGTAACCTTATACTTTCTTTTCACGAGACAGTTTGTAACTCTAGCACTGTCTTTTCTTCTTGTTGAAAGTCGTTCACTGTCAGAAGGTAGTTAATGCAACTCATGGTTCATGTAGTATAGAACTTTCTATTGTTTGGTTCACCGGAATTTCATACGTCAAAACTTCACTGACATTCTCTCAAAAAGCGTTTTCATCCTCTTAGTAAATAACCGAAGAGCGAACAGACATGTATCACGTCTTTTTCATCATTTCGGGGTATGCATCATTGGTAGATTTTTATACTATCATAAAGATTCTGATTGATACATCAATATGTTCAGATCAAGCCCTAATTGACCTTTTACAGAAAAAATTATTCAACAAAAGTACTTTAAACCGAATACAGACTTGAAACTTCTAGACTTGAAATAAATACTTATAAAAAATCATTTTTTGTTATGGCAAATACGATATTTCTGAAATTAGAAAATATTTTTGTAAGCTAGGCTTGCATCACATGTATTAGCTAAATCCACTCCTGACGCTGATAAATCCAAGTAAAATTTTGTTATGAATCTTGGCATTACAAACCCCCATGCGGCTTTAGGCCCTTTATATATAATTTCACTCAAATCCCCGAGGCAAGAAGTGTGAATTCCTAATATCTTGAGCATTTACAGCAACGAACTGACATATTATTTAAGTTTTTTGAATATTTTTTCATGTTTACATGTGATTGGCCTGTGTATACTTTATAAATGCATGATCATGTATGCAATGAAATTGTATTGAAGATTATGAAAGAGTTCTAGATTTTGTTTTGAGCAAGGTTGAGCAACTGTTGAGTCTCTGAGTCTGTATGTTATAGCACTGGCAGAGGGGCATGTTGAATGATCCCTGCTGTTATGGCTATCATACTTTACAGATCTTTTACCAAGCAAAATACAACACAACAACCCAAGACTGTTAATGTGTGATACTCTGCCCCATCTAGCAGATGGATTTAACACAACTTGCTGAAACAGAAACAATATCCATTTATGAAGGCTTTATCAGCTTCGTATGGCTCTGGGTTACTTCCAACAAACCTGAATCAAAATGGAATTTATGAGTCAATATGAGTTTATAATTACTCCTTTAAGCAAACCAAGATGTAAGAGTATGTAATAGAGAATGGTTGGTTTTATTGTGGCCGTATGTTTATAACATTTTGCTTTTTGTAATCAACATATCATTTCATTTTTAGAAAAGTATCTCTGATAAAAATTGAATTGCTTTGTAGAGAAGTTGTATTGAGTTTATTTTGCTGTTTTAGTGGCATTTTTTGCATTAACCCAGGTGGACTGATTTACTTTGAACCAAGATTTTCCTCTGTAACCTGAGACCACTCTTATAATATGTATAATTAATTCCCAGTTTTTGCCTGGTAGCTATCAAAGGTCAAAGTATGCATCAAGTAAAAATGTCATAAAACGAAAGAAAAATGGCAAATGTCCGAATAGTAGAAAAATTAACGTAGTTCTACTGATACCTAATTCGCCAAAACTGAATTTTGAGGAGGGGAAATGACTATAAGATGAAAGACCCAATTGATGAAATAGTTTTCATAAAAGCACCTCTGTAAATATGAGTAACTCATATCCCTCAGACATATGTAATGTATGTTTACTCTAGTTTGATTGATAGGGGAAAGTGATATGATGGGAATCAGAAAATGTGCAGTAAAATGAACCAAAAAATAAACCAAGCTTGTCAATTTGAACTATGATACTTAACTTGTAAAACTATTAAGCAATTAATATAGTTATGAACAGTTTATGAACAAAATGGCAATTTTTTTAGATAAATGTTACTATACGGCTTCAATGTACCCGTATACATCATAGAGATTTATCAATTCATTTTATAAACATATTATTTTGATATACCTTTAATATCATAAGGTCATATTAGCTTTACCAGCTTTACCATTTGGACATCTCATTGTTTTGAAAACTAATGCAACCAAAGTTTGCATGTTTAACTTGACCTTTTTAAAGTCCATGCTGAACCTGTTGTGTCCCACTAGGATGTGTACACTTGCATGGTATTCTGATTAGCTACTATCTCCACTCCACCCAGTATGCCACAATTATGTGCCTTTAAGGTGCATCACAATGAGTCCACTTCAATATTGAAAACTTCATGGGAAGTCTATTATCGCCCAATTTTGAACCCCTTTCACCAAATCTCTTAAAATACGCAATTTTGTATGATCATGAAGTACTTCAAACTATGAACATATTTTTGTCATACATTTGTAATGTAAACGTTGGATTAACATCCTAAATTCAAGTGATTTTCACTCATTCCTATATAGTTATATTTAATCAAGCTTAATAACTATGATTTTCTGGCAGGTATATTCCACACATGAGGGGTCACACAAGTGCCCCTCTCAATGAATTCAAGTACCATTGAAGCACTATTGTTAACAAACCAACCAAAACATTTATAGACCTTCCATTTTGTAAAGCTTAGTAAGATTTAATGAACTGGAGTCTAATAG